GACAATTGCGGCGGTCTGGAAATCCCCTTCTCCCCCCACAGTCTCAGCATGGCAAGAGAAAGTCTGGGATCAGTTTATAATGGCGAAAATTACGGATTCCCTGAAGAGGGCAAATAATAGTAATACCCCCACTTACACTAAATTTGTTAGGATTTGGGCCCCAGTGTTAGATTATATGGTGACGAATGATTTACTTCCGGCTAAACAGATTTACCATAAATGGTTATTTTTATAGCGTAGAGGTGATAAACTCACAGTATTGCAATAGTGCGGTATGGTGTGTGGATAGATGTCAAACTGTTAGTAATTTGCTTAGATGCTATATGTTGAAATCTTGGACCGATATGTTTGTATTATTTGAAATGTTTTTTACAAAACAATAAAAAGAGTTGTTAAAAAAAACAACAGGAATCTACCTTAAATTTGAGGACTCCTAAAATTCTTCTTTTGCAGTTCGTTATGAGGTAAGATACTCTTGTGGTTGCTGTTGAGTAATCAGTATGACTTGCACTGTCTGGGTCATGGCTCAGAGTGGTTGGTAACTCAGGGAGACTCATATGATGGAGTGGATGAAAGGGATGGAAGGTGCTTCTATATCCAAACTGGTGGACTGCATATGGTGGAAAGGGAGAAGAGAGACCAAGCGAAGACTAATAGGACTTCTCTAGCCATTGATTTTAAGGGCCAAAACTGAGCAGTCTTCACCTGCTGCTCAAAGATTTTCCACTTTCCATTTTCCACTGAAAAAGTGTTTGGGGAGACAATAGCAGATCTCTTCCAGTGACTGTGCACTCATGACCCCCAAGGTTCCCCACTCTGCGAATAAAGGCATCAGGGCATGGTTTAGAATCAGAGTTCACTTCTATCGTGTATTGTTAGTACTGCACTGTGCATGTCAAGAACACACTGGGTTAAATGTTTCAATAGCAATGTTAGAGAAAGCATGAATTTTGTAAAGGAAAGCATTTACATGATGTGACATTTGTATCACATGTGGCAATGAAGGCTGCTGTAATGAGCCAAAAATGTTTGTTATATGCAGGGCTTTTTTTGTAGAAAAAGCCCAGCAGGAACTCATTAGCATAATAGGCCA